ATTGGTTCATCAAATATATTACTCGACGTGGATGCCAGATGGTCGAGAGAAGATATACCTGCTAATATCATTGATACGCCTTCTCAATCACAAGATACAACTATGGAAACATCGTAAGAGGAGGATGAGTATGATGATACTGATTGGGATTGGATGGAGGCTAATGATTGATAAATGATCTTCTGAACTTCTTTAAATATATAGTCGTCATTGTTTTGTAGTGAGTAATAATGCCATTTTTTAGAAATATTATGTGATTGTTTTTCTTGTTTGTATGCTTTTAGACTTTTTGCATTTGTTTTTTCCTTACAGCTCTATATTGAATTGCTTCAATTTTACAGGTTTTATACCAGCAATTGTTACTGATGGTAGATTCAAGTAAGTTGCATAAAGTTTCTCTTTCAAGTAAGTGGCACAAAATTTCTCTTTCACGCCTTTTCTTCCTTTTTTTTCTTTGTTATGTTCCATTGTCTAACCTGATTAGCTTTGATTTTCTTAAACTTACACAGATTTAGATGTCATGGGTCAAGAAGGGTCTTCAAGAAAAAATAAAAAAAGAAAAACCTGTCATATGTTCAAGCTGGAAGTTTATCATGTTTGGCAAAAAAAAACATTGACAACAAAAGAAACCGTTCAAGCTATACGGTTAGAGAAAGAGCATCTGCTAAAACTAATTGAAGAACAACCAACAATAGGAGAACGATCTGAAGCAAATGAACGACATGTAGAGGAGCAATTTGTAGAGGGGCACATTGTAGATGAGCAGATGCAAATATATTCTACCACTCCTACAGCTAATGAACGATCCGAAGAACAAGGTAAGTCTACATAACTTAGAATCTTACTGAATTCATCCGTCACCTCTGATTTTTTGTGTTTTGTTGTAGCTTCTGGTCCTGTAACTCCAAAAATAAAAGAGGCAGGACACAAATGCATAGTGTCCATAGCCGAAAGACGCGTAAGGTGATCACACTTAACAATTTAAATCAGCCCATTGGTCCTACTAAAGAAGATGTAAGAGAGTTTGGTAGCTTTCTCGGTACATTGGCAAGGACTGCAACTCTTTGCCCAATGGATATATTGGATTGGAGGAAAATGGACACAAAAGACGATTTATGGACATATACCAAGGTTTGAAGTTCCGATACAAATGTTCAGTTATTTGTTAAAAGTATGTTACAATTTCTGCTAATCAAATGAAATTAAATTGTAGTTGAAGTATGATATTCCTGATGCTGCAAAAATATGGACTTTATTTTCAATTGGAAATGCTTAGAGAAGGCATAAAAGTCAACTGAAGAAAGATCATTATGATGCCTATCAAAATGATGAAGTTCGAATGGCAAAAAGGCCCGATTATATACCAGAATATCAGTTTAAAGAGTTCCTGAAATATTGGAGTTCTGATAAACTACAGGTAAATATAAACCATGATTTTGACAATAGTTACAACCAGTATATAAACCATGATCATGGTTCTGTGCATCTCATGGTTCTTCTGATATAGCTGTTAGTGCATATCTGTGCATCTCATGGTTCTTCTGGCATGATTTAAGGGCCTTTGAAGTGCAACTCATGATTCTGTGCATCTCATGGTTCTTCTGATATAGTTGCTAGTGCATTCTACTTTTTGAGCATGTCAAATATCAAATTCTAGCTGGTGGGGAAACTCTTAAAATGGAGAATTCACTTAGCTTCTAGGTTTCTCCATTAGATTTCACTCTAATTCTGATATGTTCAAGATATCTGCAACGGCCTTCAACTTAGGAAACTGTGGGGATTTTGTGGAGTCTTATGTAATTGTTTGTGAACGTGGATACATCTTCAATGCTCCTGTTGCAAATGTTGTGGTCGTCTTCACGACACTTGTTACTCAAATTCATAAGTATCCAAAGATACCGATAATGTTTTTTTGCTTGGAATACTCTAAAGATAAGGAAGGGTTTTAAATAAGAACTTCATAGATTGGTTATCAAGTTCAACGAAAAGTATCCCAACAAGCTTAGTCGCTGCAACATAAAGCTATAACTCTACAGTTTGTATATCCTAGCATACTCTGATATAGTGAATCTTGTCAATTACTCTCCTTCATTCTTTGCTAGTTTAGAGACCACAAGTTGTTGCAAATAACTCACAAGTAGCTGAGCTATAACTCTACATATTGGTTCTGTGCATCTCACAAGTTGCTGCAAATAATGTTGTTCTATTTTGGTTTATTGTATTGTATTGATTCATTTTATTTGTAGAGATCATCCGAAATCAACAAGGAGAATCGAAAAAAGTTGACGGATCCACACACTGCTGGCAAAATAAGTTTTCCAGTAATCCGTAATGAATTGGTGCGTACTATTATTTATTATTATATCTATTATGTTTTTTAAAGATCTATTATATCCATTTTCGTGCGAATAGGAAAAAACAAAGGAACCTGTATCACTTAAGGAGATGTTTGTGGCCACAAGAGCAAGAAAACCTGGGCATGCGTACAAGCACTCACACGAAAATACAACTAGTAAAATTGTATGAATATTATCTATATGCAAGTTTTAGATGAGATCATTTTATTTATTCTTCTTTCTTATTTTTTATTTACTTTAATTCTTTTGTTGAATTTGCTTTGTTAGGCTGAAATGAAAAAAATTGAAATACAATAAAGTGTAGATGACAGTCAGTCTATTGATGCATTTTCATCTGTCATGGGTCCTGAACATCCAGGACGTTTAAGATTATATGGACGGAGGGTTACAAAGACTAATTTGAAAGGAAAAGTGGGCCATTTCATGCCGACTTCAAATTCCACAAATGATACAGTGCAAAAAATACAAGAAAGGATTCGAAAGATGGAGGAACAAATGAGAACTATGCGACAAGAAATTACTGCAGATGTAATTGCTCAACTTCAGCGTGCAGGATTAATTAATCCAAACATACTAGCAACATTGTTTGTTTCGTCACTAGGAGAAACTACCTCTGCACCACAAGCTGCTAATCAACTGATCCGTCGACCATCTACAGGTAGCAATAATCAAGGTTAGCATCACTTTATTCCCAGACTAAAATTTATATTTTAGCAACTGTAGAGCTGCTGATATTTGTTAATATATGTATTGAATTTTACTGTGGCTTGAGTTTTCCATATTGGAGTCTAGATTGTTGTTGATTCTTCTTCTTCTTCTTCTTCTTTTTAAACGTCCAAAAAGTGCCGAAATGCTGGCGAATTTTTTTAGAAAAATTCTGCCCAATTTTTCCAGTTTCTGCCCAAAATGCTGGAGAATTTGTTTTTGCCTGTGTTGACTTCCGTTCATGTATCTTTTGTAAAAGAATCTGCTTCTTGTTCATGTACTTTTTGTAGTAGAAACTGCTTGATCTGTCATTTTCTTGATTAAAGATGTGGGTTGTAGATTTTATGTGGTTCCTTAGATCAACAGAATGTTTTTTGGTTAGTTGAGGTATATGTACTTCATTATTTAATGTTGCGCTATGTCACCTTTTATGTTCTGAAGTGTTGTCACATTGTATCATATACTTGTTGCTATTCTTGAGGGATGTAGTTTAGTATTCTTGCTGCTAGAGAACTCAATTTGAATGCAATGCTGCTAATGACTTTTGTCTGTCATTTTCTTTTCTGTTTCTTCAATTTCTTTCCCACTTATGTGCATATATTGACAGTTGATATGATATGACAAGGTTTATTAGACTATTATAGGTGAAACCAGTCCAACATTGGATTTATAAAGGCATCAGAATTTAATTGTTGTTCTTAGATTGCTAGTATTATGGATGTTTTCATATTATCTTCCGCATCGGTTTTCTAGTACCTTGTCATTGTTAGTGCTTGTTGCTATTGCTATCGCTATTGCTATTACTTTCTTCCATCTATTTTTTCCGGTTCATACATTGTTGGTTTCATTTTCCTCACTTGTAGGATGTCACTAGTTTTTTATGTTGTTGTTGAATTTCTAGTTCTAATTGTAAATTTTGGTTTATAACCAAGCTTTTCTGGTGTTTTCTTGGTTTACTGGTCGTAGAAACTAATGTTGTCTTTGCTGGTTTCTTATGCTGGTTAAATGGTGTTGACATTGGAATTTTTTGCTATTCCTGTAATTTGTTGTTTCTAAAGATGGTTTTAATATTGTTAATGTGAAGCTTAGAACTAAAAGGGGTTCTTGTTGTTGCATGGGGATGTAATTGTACTATGTAAATTTGTAAATTTTGATGGCATGGTAGAATCTTCAACCGATGGTTCAAAATTAGATACTTCAATATTAGCTGACAAAATGAAAAATTCTGCCACTGGGAGGAGGCAGAAGACTTATTCGTTTGTAACTGACCAATCTGTGGATACTAAGGATAAGTCGATTGATGGTATATTGGGTAGCTTAAAGAAGTCAGGTGAGAGGTCGACTGAGTCGAGGGTGTAGGTCTGATGGTTGAGAAGAGCATCCTGTATGTGGCTTCTTTATATTAATTTCTAGGATAGGTGTTTAGATAAAACAGTTGCAACTTTTTGTTGGCTGTATAAGTTACAAGGATTTAAGTTTGTAAATTGTGTTTAAGTGGAACAATTGAAATATAGTTGGAGTGTTTAAATGAAACATAGCTAAGTTGACCTCCAAATGAATTTTGGCGCCAAGTTAGAGGGGCCACATATGGGTTTGGCCTTGTGTATTTGTCAATTTGTTTAATCTTACCGTGTGTCATGACATTAATATACATATCTTTAAATGAAATCCTTTTATAAAACTTTTGCTAAATTGTTTGTTTTTTGATTATTTGTAGGTGGAGAACTTGAAGTAGGCGACCAAACTGATGAAGATCTTACTTAGGAGTATTAGGTTGATTCATGATGAAACTAGAAATATTTTATTTTTGTACACTTTGGAAACTTATGTGTTCCAATTCAGTGGCAGATATTGTTAAATGTTTTGCTTTTATGGATATTACACCTATTATGGATTCTGATTTTGTTTAAAAATAAATTTTTCTCGTAAATTATATATATTTCAAGGTATGTTACATATTGTTGGTTTGTATAACTGTTGCAATAGAGATATGATAGGTGTTGCAGTAGCCCATAAAATAATCGTCGCAATATATCACTATAACCGTTGCAATAGCATGAGCCCCAATCGCATAAGCCAAAAGTGACCGTTGCAATAGTATAACGTAATCGTCGCATTAGCATTAAGTAACTGCTGCAAAATTATAAAATAACTGTAGCAATAGCCTGAACAACAGTTGATAATAAACTCTATTGCAACGGTTTTTAACCGTTTTATAGAGTAAAGAATCGTCGCAATATCATTCATAGAATAATCGTTGCAATAGGACATCTTATGCATCGGTTATGAAACTGTTACACACAACCATCCCTATAGCTCTATTGCGACGATACCTGTTGTAGCGGCCGCAAAACCGTCGCAATATCTCTACGGCAACGGTTTCAATTCCTGCCGCAACGGTTTCGGAACCGTCACCACGGGACTAATTTCTAATAGTGAGTTGCTTGCTTCAAATTATCTGGGACGCACTTTCTTCTAACAAATTCTTGTCGTCCTCATAACTTCCCAAACCATCTGCCCCAGTTTCACATAGTTCGGGCTTTAAATGATCTCGAAATGTCCAAATCTGTACTTATTCCCTCAAGTGTCTCTATCATCTTCAAAATTATTTCATTGCTTCATGATTAAACTAACTTTTAAGACCATGCCTAGAATTATGTGTGTATATCATGTCACTAGAGCCAGCTTGAAAAGAACTATAAAAGGAAAAGAGAACTAAACAAAAAAATGACTAGAAATAACAGAAAATAGAAAAATTATATTAGACAGATGGTGAAAGGGTTTGAACAATAAAACAAGTAAAATAAACTGGGGTTAACCCTGGAACAAACCTAGATAACACTAAATGAGTTACTACGACTAAAGGAACTAGGAAAATAAAAGGATAGAAGGGTTTGAGCCGCAAGACAATATCCGGATTACCACCCTGAAATAACCCGGACAACAGAAATGACAACAAATTAAACCACCAAGACTCCTCCCTGGCTATCCAAGAAATGGAGTGTCTTTCCAATTATCAAGCTCGGCATCTTAGCCGATGAGTACCACATCAATATTATCAAGACCATTACCAATTTCAATATCATTAACTTTAGTCAGCAAGTTCCCAAGAGGATTCGCATACTCCATGTCACTGTCTTTGATCACGATTATCCCTTCTTGAATCATTCTTTCTATTTCCCTTTTCAAAGCACGACAATATTCAATGCTATGACCTTGAACATTAGAGTGGTACATGCACCGTAAAGTAGGATCAAAACCTTTTGCATATGGGTCCGGAGTATAGCCGAGGAGCGGCTCAATCAGGCCAGAATGTTTTAACTTTTCAAACAAGCTTGTGTAGGATTCTCCGATTGGCGTGAAATTATTTTTTTGCCTTTGTTCCCCTCCATGGCCCTGTTTCCTAGGGTTGTTGGATGCTTGAAAATATTGTGAAGGTAAAAGTGCATTATGCGGTGCTGGCGCTCGCCATGAGGAATGACCCAGTGGTTGGACAGATGACCGGACATTGTTCGGAGGATAATACTGGGGTGGATTTTGTGGAGCTTGGGGATATTCATAGGGTCGGTATTGAGGCTGAAGGCGTTTAGCAGGAATGCCCACTGGATACTATCGTTGGCGGGGCTCAACAACATCTTTTCTATCAATCGGAGAACTGACCCGAGCAACTTGATTGTTCCATCTGAACCAAAACTCCCTAAAATTTCCCTCGAATTTCTTTTCCATCTGAGATAAGGAAGAGTGATCTGGGATAATGTCCACATTGTACTGATAGTGCCAAACAAAATCTTGAGAGATGTCACCCCATGCATCACATTTACCGACATCTTGACGAGTATACCACTCCAAGGCTTCCCCACTCAAACTCTCACTGAAATATGCACTCAACAATTCATTTTCCTGCAAACACTTCTCATTTCACTACAATAACCCTTTGGATGGGCTACTGGATCTCCACGCCCATCATACAAATCAAACTTTAGCATCTTAGACCCAGCAGGCAGTTGGATGTTAGGAAACAAACACAAGTCTTTGTAAGGCACGCTTACCTGGCTCTCTATCCCTTGCATGTTTCTTAAAGACTGCTCTAATATTTTCACCATCCTGGTTATCTCATCTTGCTCCACTGTCTTAGCAGACTTTTCAGTTTCACCGGGAGGCTCAAAATTATAAGCGTAAGAGTATGGATCTGAGACCTTTAAAGTTGGTTCTAGAGCATAGTGTCGGGCATCAGGGACTTTGAACCCAGTCTCGCTAGAGGATCGAGGAAAAGTAGCCGGTGGAGGGATACAAAAACATGAGTGGTCAAAGGAGCGGAATATGAGGTGGTTTTGGTGGGTGGAGTGTGAAAAGGTTGTGGGGAGATATCAACAGCAGCAGAAAGCTGGATTTGTGACAATGGCGGAATGGTGACGAGGCTTTCAGTGCAGTTAGCGGGAACTAATGGTGGAGAACGCCCACTAATCCAGGCTTGGTATACTTCGGCCATCTGTCCTTTCAACCTTAAGACCTCTTCTTTCAACTCACATTCTGATTCAATAATCTCCTTAGACGGATCAATAA